GGCGGGCGGGCGGCGTGGGGGGAATCCCTCAGGCAGCGCTGAGAGGAAACTCCAGTAGTGGCGCACGAAGGGTACCCGTCACCCGCTGAACAAAAACAACATGAAAACTTATAAATATTCAAACGTTGCCTCTTCTGCTGATTGATTTGTACGCGAAAAACACGTTATGCGGTTGAGCTGCCCCCCCCGGGGCACTGTTACCTCCGTTACTGTGGGAGGGATAAACGGTATTTACAGCGTGCTGCGATTTAATGCCTGTGCAACTACTTAGTTCTAAGGGAAACAAGACTAGCTGCAGGCTATTGACAGCTCCAAATGAAATGTTTGGCGAGATAAGTCATAAATCTTAGCTTTAGGAGAGGTTTTAAAGTCGGTGTCCCGCTTTCCTGATTGCAGAAAAGCTTGCCAGCAAAAACTGAATGAACTGTAGAATCTCAGAAACCAAATACAGCACTTAAAAAAAGCAATCTTGTTCATAGGGCCTGACTCCCGGCTTTAGCCATATAAATTGGCAGTAAAGGTGCCGTCCATTCTTGTTATTTCAGTATCAATGCGCTTTCCTCAGGCAAGTTTCTGTTCAGAGAGCTTTATTGCGCAAAATAAATTTGTTTGGATACATTAATCTCTTCATCGCTGTCTGCAAGGCAAAGGGGATTTTGGCTTTTGAGAATATTTCCGTTTGTAAAATGCTTTTTTGTTTCCTGGGTCTGATGAAATTTCTTTATTACTGAATGTATGTCGAACATTATGAATTTTTCTTCAACTAAGTCTGGCACTTGTTCCTTCTTAATAGAAATGGTTTTTTGCTAGTGGACAGTGGTACATTATGCATTTTCCTCATTTTTTGGCTACCATTGGCAACGGCTCCAACCCATCAATGGTTTTAGAGGTCTGAAGCACTTATATGCAATTACAGTACCACAGAAAACCTGATGAGCAGACAGTTAAAAATACATAGCTAAAAAAAGAGAGTCAAATCTGTACTGTACTTATTTTACTAGTTATTTTACTGCTTCCCTCTTTGTTTTTCAATCACAAGTAAAAATTTTACATTTAGAAGTCTAGCTCTGATGTGCTTGACTGTTTCCTAGACTCCTGCTGGGGTCTGACAGCCATATTCAATTTTTTTAGAATTACATAAAACCTTAACTGATCATACTTAAGGGAAACAATTGTTCTGACAAGGCCATTATTCATTCATGCAGTATCTAAGTTATTGCTCATTTGAGTTTAGTTTTGCTTCTGCATATCATTGCTAATGCATATGTTGTAATGGGAGATGTTTGTATTTCTGGCAGCACATTAAATCAACAAAAGTCTAATATATCCTATTGCTAGTATATTTTGAGACATCAAATTCTCAAAATGTTTCATATCCCATTTAATAAACAATCTGTATGTTATAATTTTGAAACACATTTATTACTAACTCTGAATTTTTTTGCTCTGTTCTGTTGCTGTGTTGTCGTAATTATACCACAAACAAATTTCTAATTAACAGTTACATTAATTGTAGAATTATCTATATGACGTGCGCTTCCAAGTAGGAGGGCAGGCTCTGCAGGAAGAATCAGAAAATTTGGGGAAAGCAAACCAAACGTCTTTTAGCAGACTTTAGGGCAATACCTTGGAAGAAAAAAGAAAATTCAATTTAATTTCAGTTGCAATCTTTAAATCTCATACTCATATATTAGTACAATTACTATGTGGTATGACTTCAGAAAAAGGTTAAGACCGCAGCCTTATTTACTTATCTTATTTACTATCATCTTACTTATTTGCTTATCTTACTGAGCATTTGCAGCCCTTAACATATAGAGATTTTTTGAGTGCACCTTTGTGCACTGGTGCAAGGCACTGAAGCTAATGTTCATTATGATCCCAGTTAGAAAGGCACTCAGATTCTGTAAAGTGTTGCTTAAAATGCCATTGATTGGAGCTAACAAAAGAAGGAAGAAGAGGATAGATAATCTTGCATCCCTTCATATGCTGGGAACCCTGAGTTGCACAGCATCAGGCAGATCTCTAGTCAGGGCAGGGCATGGGGTGGCATGTAGTGGGGATCCCATCTGTGAAGAGGCTCACTGACATTTTAGTCTTTAGTGCTCTTACAGGATTTTCTTAGAAGAAAATAATTCTATTCATCATTTCCACTATCAAACAAAAGGGTGTTCAAGTGAAAACTCACTGCTTCACTTTAAGATAAAGACAAGGACGTAAGGTGCTGTAATCATCAGTACCAAGTGGGAGCTGCTACATGCTCCTCCATTATGATTAGCCAGCAAAGTTTATCCTGCAGCCAAAGGATATGTGCAGCCTGAAGTGTAGCGGGCTTCAAGGCCAAGCTATTCGTGAAGCATAGCACAGCACAGCACAGCACAGCTCATGCTGGTGCCTGCTCAGGTTAACTGTTAGGTGACTCACTAGCTCATCAATGTGTAATAGTCTTCCAGTTAGGACCATTTAATTCTGAGCTTATTGAATTTCTAAGGTTTAGTTTGGATATGCAGATTGTTAAAATAATTCTGTAATATATTTATGTCATACTGCTAACATGTACTGTCAACACTAGTGCACTTTAATGTATATAAGTTTCTGAACTGTAATTCAGAACTACTGTGTAACAGAGCTTTATTTTGTTCTGAGTAATACCATAGCTGTTCCAGTGAAAATAAAGACAGAAGTAAAGCTGCCATGTTGGAAATTCAAAAGAAGAGTTTATTGTAAAATTTCTTGAGACAATATGGTTTGATCATTAAAATAATGACTTAGCCTCTCTCAGGATCTAAATTTAT